ATCGCTCAATTTACGTTTTGAATCAAAAGTATGAAAGAAAATGAAAAAAGAAAGAAAATTTGGGAAAAATTTGCTAGAATATGATTAGCAAACGATGGCAAGGAAGAAATGCCATCGTAATCGTTGATTCCAAACGATCCAAAACGATTTTATCGCGTGCGTTCGGCAAATAAAGCTACAACGATAACATTGGGCTCCGGAAAAAGCTCATTACGCGGACGACACGTTCGAACGGAGAAATATATTTATGTCTCTTACACCTTTTAATCTCGCGCTGTCTCGGTGGTAATAGTAAATTGCATTGCATCTATCCATTGACGAGCGTCACCTACGCCGAAAACTGAATATCTTAGCCGTAAATTAAAGTTCTTAGAAGTTTAGGTCTGTGGGTGGATATGAATAGCCGAGTGAGTAAAAGAGAGAGAGAGAGAGAGAGAGAGAGAAGGGAGATACCGAAGGGAGATACCGAAGGGAGATACTGTCGTTAATATTCATAAAGCCCCGGGTGACGCGGATGAGGTCTTTAGGTTGGTAACAAAGGTCGATCCTGTGACGAGGGGCGTTGAGCTCCAGTTTTGGTAGCTTCGTCGACGTTTAAAACGAAAAGGAAAAGCGACGAACCTGTTGCCGGAATGCGATAATAATAATATCCTTGGACAAAAATCTAGCCACATCCATCATTTGTTATAATACAAATGAGATTTCAAAAATAAATTTGTCTGATTTATTTTAACGATTTAAAAAAATAAAAGAGAGGGACAAAAGTAACAAGAAGAGAAAGAAAAGAGGAAAAGGATAAAAGCGAATTGAAATTTAACGCGGGAATCTTATCATGGCAGGGAGCTTTAGGTTTGTTTTTTATGTTAACTTGACGTCAGTCCCAGGAGCAATCGAGTCAATTGAAATTCGTATCGCGCTCGTATTCGGTGTAATAAGGTCTACCTCTGTCTTTGTCCATCCTGTGTACGGTAGTGTTTGTATCGATCCTCGAAAAGTGGAAGAGAAATAAAGAGACAAAGAGAGAAAAGTGTTCAAACGTACTGGCACTCGCAATCTTTTGTTCGTAACAAGGGGGCATCGGGCGTTTGATCGACATCGAGGGTTATCCTAAAACTTATTTGCAGAGGGTTCAAGTAAGCGAGGATAAGTAGTTTTCCCGTTTCGGCTCGAACGATGTTGAGCTTTCAAACTCCCTAACGTTAATAATGATTAGCTTGTTATACGTTAGTAATCCATTCGTTCTCGCACTTGGAAAAGCCTATTTACCGGCGGACAACGAGCTAAATGCGTTCAAAGTTACATATACAGTTCGTTAACAACGAGGAAAGATAACGAGGAGAGGGGTGGGGGAGGGGGGGGGAGGTACATTTAAGTAGATTAAAATCATTGGAAGAAAAAAAATCGCAGTAAAAAATGTGAGACAACTTTGAACACTTTATTTGACTCGGTCCGTACTCGGAGGATAGGATAATATAATCTCCATACGTATGCGCGAGCTACGTATCGTGGAGAGAAGATTAAAGGGAAAAAGAAGAAAAAAGAAAATAATCGACGAGGTGACAATTTCATTTGGCGACAAACTCGTTGAACGTGTAATTTCAGCCGACGGATGTGTCGACATTGCGAATTAATTAGCTAGATACCAATACAACGTTCACAGTTGGAATCGAATTCGAACGTTCGACGATGATATTTCTTGAATAAGTTTTACAATGCTCGTGATCCTCCAAATTCTCGCAAAAAGTCTTTAATCGGATATCCAATTGTCATGATTTTCGTTCAGCTGAAGAAGAAATGGGAATAGAGGGAAGCTGCTGACTAGTCACTTGAAATGAGATCGAGCAAGACCGCCAAGTGGGCATCCAATGGCAGACAGTCTCTGCAGTATCCCGTATTTACCGAGTCCGCCACGATCGAAGTTGCTCGAACGAGACCAGAGATAAATGCCACTTACATGCAGCGTTTCATGAACACGGCTATTGAAAGTAGTAGTTACTTCAACGCGGTTAATCGAGATCCCTCATCATTCTCTAACTGCGCATCTTTTTTTCATCCTTCTTCTAACCGAATACGATCGATAACGTTCATTTTCTTTTATTCATTTATCTTACATTAGAAACGACTAAAGTGCAAGTTTTCTTTCATCGATCGCACCTACATTTTTCTCGCAAAATGCCTTTGGTGCACGAATAGTACCCATATGTATACATATTTATACGGAAAAACCTAGCAAGCGCTAATAAAATAAATCATTGACTTTCTCATGATACTAGGAAAAAAGAATACTAATAAAATAAGTATAAAATACCGATATTGACGCACGCAAATGGAATTTTTCCTTTTTTTTTATTTATTTTTTTTTTTTTTTATGACGTTTCGCACTCCACCGTCTCCCATCGCTCGTCAACGTTTTCCACATGCATATCTAGAATTGAAATTTTGTATTTCCAGAATAAAAGTCAACTTTTTGGCGTTCCCTATATTGTCACGCAAACGCGGATAAACATTCCAACTGATATAATGTAAAAATCAAATGAACGCGATAATCGATCGTTATATAAAATAAAGTTGTATTGGCGATATTTGAAAGGTTATCCGCAGGTATTTTGTAAATGCTCGTCACGCGATCGACTTCGTTAAGATCTGAGGTAGATTTTGAGTCTAACGATGGAAACGAGCAGAATTCAGCTCCTGACATAACGAAATTCAATCGTCGAGTAATTTCCCCCTAATGCACGGGTCTTGTCCAGCCGGAAACGAAGGAAGCAGTCGAAGCTCCCGCAAAAAGTACCAAAATCTTCCTTCTGATAGGACGCCTGGGGACTGTAGTATTACGAGACACGTTTCTGCTCTGTGCTATTTCTCGACCCTCCGTCATGAAATTTTATAAAAGGTATAACCAAACATTCCCCTTCTTATACGTGGCTAGGATAAGGAAAGCATATCTATCATTTGAGAGGGTGACAGATGGTGTCAAGCATGTTTTTGGAAAAAACATGGGCTTTCCGAAAAAACATCCCGTACTTCGTACACTTTTAAAAGTATATTTTCCAAAATAACGACTCTAACATCTTTCGAAAATCATTCTTCGATATTAAAAGCACAAAAGATAACTTTAATCTATTAATATGCGCCGGGTGAAGACTTTATCCAAGATGGCGTCAAAACAAGCTTTCATACACTTTCATACGCTTTCAGGCTGATATGCATAATACTGCTTCGGTACTCCAACCTACCTTCTTGCAACTTGATGCATTTTCGCGCGTTAGTTAAAAGGAAGTAGAAGGAGGAAAGAAGAGAGCTCCTTCCGATCGCCAAAGTGTTTTTTTAAACCTTGAAAAAGTTTCGACAACAATAGCGGACTTAGCTTGTAACGAGGAAGCGGCCGAAAAGAGTCGAGGTTGCTGCTTCCTTGCCAAACAGATGAACAAAATTAGATAGTTTTCCCCCTCTTACTTATCCCCGCCGACCAACGGGAATGTTTTAAGGTAAATTAGATTGTGCGAAGGAAACAGGAAGAAAATTGTTTCTTAGGACCGAATTACAATTATTTCATTAGAGACCAACACGTAAAGTATTATATTATAATAAATGAAAGAAGGAAAAATTCCAAGTGATAAATAATAAGTAATATATCTAATAATAAATATAGTTTGATTAAATGAATAGTTTTAATCAAGAATGAAATAATAAAAAAGGAAAAAAAAGAAATGATAGGTTAATGGGGTAATCAAGATGATCGGTATAAGCATAGAAAAGATATGATTTGCTGGATGGGAAGTACACGTTCGCTCGGTCGTAGTTGTAGTGGGCAAATTACGAAAGCCGGGGACGTGCTCGAAAGACTCTACGACCTTCCATAGCACGTTGATAATGCACTACCAGTGGAGAGGAATGCGATCGAGTTTTCTGCTTCGATATTATGTAAACATGGAATAACTTTATTGAAAGGAATTACACCATCCTCCGATGCTAATGGCATTCTCCCTATCCTTCATCTTTCTCATTCTTTCAACGGCGGCGACTCTTATTTCAACGCACGAACATCCTCCGCGAAAATGTGACCTTCGCCGAGACGTATAATCTCGTAGATTTTCAAGTGAAATATAAGGCGATTTCGACGTAAAAATCTTCTTCGATAATGTTCACCTCGGTAATATAAGAGTTCAACACGCTCCCTGAATTTTAATAACAGCCTCGTGTAAAGGAAGACCAAAGAGAGATTTTCTTTTCACATAGAAACGTAGTTTTCTTTTCGTCCGTTTTATTATTACTAACGAAGAGTCTCGAACAACAGTTTCGCGTCGCATTGTAACGGCCGAGTGTTATTCATAATTACGATATTCATTTGTATCATATAGAACAGCTTTCATACGGTAAAGAAATAAATTCGTTAGAAAAATGAATGATCAGTCGAATAGTAAAAAAATGTCCAATAGAAAAAAAGGAAACACATCACTTTTGATGATTTTTTCAAGATCGAACAATGTTTTTCTCTATTTTTATATGTACGTATGTTCACTTTTTTTCGTAAACACTCGAGACACTCGATCGTCTTATTGTAAAAAAAGTCGAATTCGGCACGCGTGCCTCTTCGAAAGAATATTATTCCTTTTAATATTTCAACGATTTTACATTAATTATTAATTATTATCCTTCTTTCACTAAATTGAGTTTTCTTTCTACATTTTATTTAATATTTAAATCAATGGTTTTTTCGCGAAGAACTTACTTGAACTAAAAGTCCCACCGTCGTTGACAACGAGAGACAGACAAAAATCTGTTGTAAACGGCTGATTAAGTGTCAATAAATGTATTCATATTTCAACAAATCTTTATGATATATTTTTTATTGCTTTTTCGATCGCAAGAAGATCTTTTTTAAAAACATTTGTCATTGTTTCGTTTTGAAAAATGGAAGATTAATTTCAAGCAGCGTTGATATAAGAAAACACGAGATCATCGGATATTTATTAACGTTATGAACAATATTGACTCACCTCTCATGTAAATGTAAGCAGTGCCCCGCATATTTCTCCTCGTAAGTACGAGCAGATTCAACATGTTACCGATAATGCCCAAGCAACAGATGGCAGGTAGAACGATACTATAACTGATTCTTCTGAGGGTCGGCGTCCTAGGATCCTCTAGGATCTCCTGATCCTCCATCGAAAGGCAAAGACGTCCACCACTCGCATTCAGGGTCTCCATCGTTTATTTTGTCTTTTTTCCTTTCCTTTTCTACAATACAAGTTTTCATCGACAAAGAGATTATCCGTCTCCATTAAATCTCACGTTAGTTTTACGAACGATGCCCTCAACGATGCGGTCAATCCCTGTTCTCTGATCGATCGGCATCTTTATAATCCTCGTTTCTAATGAAAAAGTCGAATATTCGCGATAATTATTCGAGCGAACCGTCAAAAATGAAAATAAACCGATGAACGTCATTTTGGAACCGAAATGATCACACGTCGAACTACGCGATACGAATTAATTTACGCGAAATGTTACAATGATAAATATATATTTGATCGTGATCGATTATAAATTGATCTTATATTAGATATATATAATTCGACGCTATCTTCTTTTTTATTTTTCAATGATGCAGTAGGATAATAGGTCTAGGTATCCAATCAATTGGAAATCGTTTGTCGAAACGCACGTGCCAAGCAACAGGTTTGAGCAGACGAAACTTTCCTGGGGCTCTTCTATTCTATTCTATTCTATTCTCTTCCCTTTCCTTTTCTCTCTCTTCTTCTCTCTCAAAGAATGCAGCTTTTCTTTTTCCTTCGTCGATTTACTTGACTAGCGTGTAACGCATACAGGTACCACAGCATTTATTTTACCGAGGAATCCGAACATTTTCTTCCCGACGATTTGTACGCCGACATTTTTGATCATGCGACGAAGATGAAAACGACATTCGCGTGTTCCTGAAAAAATGTTAACGTTTTGTTAGTAAGCCGAATTCCTAGAATTATCTCTTATTGGGTTTACGTATGGGGCAAAAAATAGAAGATGTAATTTTGTATTTCTGCATTTGATTTTCTTCAAAAATTGGAGGAACTTTGAAATATAACTTTTGTTCTAAACTGTATTAAACTTTACTCTTGGGATGACTCGTGACGGCAATTTGTGTTTAACGCCGATAAGCAAATTTAACGATTTTTCTGATTTTATTTTCTTGTATAGGTACAATGTAGTTTAAGAAGAAACTCTGACACGATCGAACTTGGCTAGATGGTCCTTAAGACGTTAACGTTTCGTACCGATAATATTCTCCTTTATCGAAATTGTTACGCAGGGTATAAAGGGTTATCGTAAAAGTGGAAGATCCTCTCGTAGGAGAGGAAATAGATCGTTACACGCTACTAAGCTTGGGATGCTCGCGTTAGATAGGAAGCGTCGATTAGGAAACTTTTGCAACTTTCGATACGTGATTTTTTCTAAGAGGCTCCTTAATCCCAACCACCATCGTATAACAGATTACATTTACAATTTATTTCAACGATTTTGTTCGATCATAATAAATAATATAAGATACCATACCTTGTTTCGAAACGAAACGAAATTTCTAAACGAAATATGCCGTAAAATAAAAAAAAATTTGTCATCTAGGTATTTCAATGATACTACTGGCTGTCGGGAAAACTCTTGGATGGAGTTTAAGTCAAGCGGAAGAAATGTTTTGGAAGTGAGTTTCCGCGATTGTTATCGTCCTGCGATAATTCGATTGAACGAAAGGGATTCGTCTGGATATAGCTGTGAAATCGACACGCGGATTCGAATGTACTGGAATAAGAAAAGTTAGCAGCTTCTGGAAGCACGTGTCATGGTTCGGGGAGTTAACGCCAAGGATAAAGAGAAAAGAACGGGGAGTTTATGGGGAGGATTTCTCGCGTCGATCCAAACTGACAAACTCGAGCAACTTTTCTACTAGGTTGCGCCGGTATAACGGCAGCTGCGACTTACATAATACCTTTTCCTACAACTCTTTCTTCGAAAGAGAAGAAAAAACAGAGTGGAATATTATGCGTTACTTTCTTATTTTTTTTTTCTCGTAAACATTGCACGATAGAGTGAATATATACACGTCAAAACACACACTCACATATATTTGGTAAATATCTCAATTAGTTTCGGGAATAATCGACTGGTACATTTTTTACTATATCGATAAGAAATTTTGTACAATCTTTTCTAAAAAATATGAATAGAGAGAAATAGAGGGAGGAATGAAACGAGTATACCATTGGTCGTCGTTCTCGGTGTCAACGGATCGGAAGAACGACGATGAAACTCATCACGAAAGTACACAAAAAGTGTTCCCTCTCTGTAGCTATCTCTTTCTCCAGCGAATTTCTTCTAACGATCCCACCAGATCTTGTTCCTTTCTTGTTACTCCGTGAGTCGACATATACGACCCTAGGAAGAAGATATGCGAGAGAATTGCTCTCGGAGAAACTTTCATCGAGAGTTTTTTTTGTTTTTTTTTTTCGAGAAAAAAAAAAGCAAGAATGAAGAAAAAAAGAAGGGTCCTTAAATAATCCGTTTCAGTTTACGAGGCGCACACAAGAATAACGCAAGTGTAATCGTTTTCTAAAGCAGAATAATTCTAAGAAAAAGCGCAATCATCGATGAGTAGCACATATAGCCGTTTCATTTTTGAATCCACTCGAACAAATTTGTAGAAAGAATCATTTTAGAAATGTTCAATTCAACGCATATTTCTTTGTGTTCTAGGCGACGCGAAAAAAGGGATTTGAGAGTGGAGAAAATTAGCGAAAACTTTCGCATCGAGTTTGAGTCCTCGGGCACGCCGCAAAATCGCGCCTCCCTGTTGGAACAATAAGTCTTCTCTTCTCCCCTAAATTTGCCCCTTTCTCTCCTTTCCCCTCGTTTCCTCTCCACTCTCTCCTACTAAGACCGATCAAGCGAAATTTTACCCACAAACTTTCTACCCAAAATTAATAGCCGCGCGCAGTTTAGTATCCTCTAACGGATTTCTCTCGTGAACTATAACGTTGTCGCGTGTTTCCTTTCCTTTACCTTTTTTCCCTTTTTTTCCCTTTTTTCGACGTTATTGCAACTCGACGCCTACCAAATGAAAATTGTTTTAGACTCGGACGAGTTTTTTTCCTTTTTTTTTTGTAACAATAGATACACAAAATGAAAATTTGTTTTCCCATAGAATTTCGTGAACGCGTTGAAATGATATCAGTCGAATAATTTGGTTTGTTTTACAAGTTATGGTATTTTTTGTCGAATATAAGTATACTTCGATAGGATCAAATGAGACGATTTTGATCGAGATCTTGTGCGATCGGTGATTAGAAATTTCGTGGAAACTCCTGTTAACTCGATGGAGTATTTAACTAAAGCGATGAGAGTCTCTCTCTCCCATTGGTAAGCAAAGGAAGTCACCAGGCACGCTCTGCTGCTTGCGAGATTAACTTCGACTTATCCGAAGGGATAATTTGTCGGTCTAAAGGAACGGATACGCTCGATGCGTAAGGGTTGAGAACGTCTTCGAAGGTTCGGAGGACTGAGGGCTGAGGGTCGGAGGAGCTGAGAGTGTAGCCTGAAGCTACTTGCCACGTTAGGATGGAAAGCTTAGGTGGGCCTCTTTCGAGCGACTACGTCTTCGTAGGATGTATCGGACGCGACGAACGAAGCACTCCCTCGTGATCTCCTTTACGAGCATCAAAGGTCTCCCTTCGAGAAACGTGCAAAGAAATATACGGATAGAAATATAATTACTTTATTATCGTGTCGTTACAAATACAAAACAAAAACAAGACAATTTATGTTGTTTAGAAATAATATTATCAATCGAATTAGCTCGGTTAAAAAAGAATTGATTGAACTTGCTGAAGCAATTTGACTAGGGGTAGATTCCCTTAGACAAATTGATACCACTTCGTTCCAGACGCGCGTCTTACACCGCGACCGACCAACTATTGGCCGTTCTAACAAAAATAGTCGAGCGCTAGAACGACGAATAAATTCGACAAATAGAATGTTCCATCTGCAGACAATGACATCGAGGGACAATAAATAATCAGAGTAAATCCATTTTCCTCGGAGATATGAATTTTTCTTTCGAATCTTCTTTATTTCTATGTTCAATGCACGTGCGTTACCGGCTACCGGAAACGAGAGGTAGAGAGAGAGAGAGAGAGAGAGAGAGAGAGAGAGAGAGAGAGAGAGGGGAAGGACTCGCGAAATCGTAATCCGCGTTCCTTCTAGATTAGATTTTATTTCCTATAATATAAAGGAAATGTTAATCCTTCTCACTTTTTATGTTAATAGGATTGAAAGAATGCTCGATAAGTTTGGTCTTGGAATCTGCGCCCATGTATTTCAGGATATAAGAACCTTTATACTATATCGGTTGATTCGAAGATGCTCGAAAAAAATTTTGAAAAATCTCCCATAGGAAAGGTGAAAAGCATTAATTAACGACCGTTTCGTCGTCGTCGTCGTCGTCGTCGTCGTCGTCGTCGTCGTCGTCGTCGTCGTCGTCGTCGTCGATTTCTCGTGGCCAGCAACGTGAGGCGTGATAATACGAGAGAAGCCGAGATAATTATGCGCTCTCGAGATATCCGACTCTAGGTCTTCGACCCCTCTACGAAAACCACTCTCATCCTCACCCTTTCATTCGAGTGTCCCTCGATATTATATAAAATATATCTCCAAGGTCTGCACCACTCTACTCTTCTTTTCTCTATTTTTTTTTTCTGAATCTTTCTTTGTAGCTCATTTTTCTGTACTTTTATAACTTCGGTCTTATCGCGATCAACCGCAGCGACACTTGGAAAAGCGTAAAAAATGTCTACGAGGGTGGTCTGGTTTCCCTCCGAACCTTCGTCTTTTCCTCATTCCGTTTTCCTTGTTTTGGATTTTTCGGTAAATGACCGTTTAAAGCCAGATATTCGTTTTCAGAGTATGAAATAAAACACCCGACTTCTGCTTAAATTGGAAATTGAATAAGTTTATATTTTTCTTACTTTTTCTTACGTTATTACAATTTTACTATCGAATTATCAAGAGAATTTGTTTGCCTACATTCCAATTTAGGCTATCGTACACTTTGAAGAAAAACGACTGGACGAACTAGTTCATTTATTCAATTTTCAATAATAAATAAAGCGGGCATTCTCTGCAATGCTACTTCGTTTTCATTCTTTTCTCGAAATCTTGTTCTTTTATTCCTTTTTCTCGTGCGTTTTATCCATTCGGTAGACATCGACTTCCTCCGGTTGTTACGCACGAACGGAATAAAATCGAAGTTACGCGAGCGTAACGCAAATCCTTCGAAAACGGGGTAAATAAGGGAGCTTGTGTTCTTCCATCGCGATAATCGAGTAGGATTCAACAACTCTCGCTTCCTTCCTCGATAACGTTTTTCGATCGTTGTTTCCACGAGAAACACTAAGGAATTTACTATAAAAATTCGTAAATTTCAAGCCGTAGGGAAAAAAGCCGTGTGATTCTCATAGTCAGTTAAATGAAATTCTAATCTTAAACCATAGTAAAAAAGCCTTATTTTATTTCAATAGGCACAACCAAGATGTATTTTTGTCGGGTTGAAGTTTAACGTTACTCTTCATATTTTGATACAATTATTTGCATTTCCATTGAATATGCGCTCATAGGTAAACAAATATTATTATAGATTAATCTATAACTTATAATAGTTTTCAAAAATACAAAATTTATTTATAATGGTATAAGTATATTCGCACGCAAGTTAGGATAACGAGGATGTTAAAATATGAGAGGATTCGCGTCCTAAATACAAAGCTTCAAAGACCGAAAAGTCAGGCTCGTTAAGAATATTCGCTTTTACCGATAACAGAGATTTTGTCGTCCCAATTGTCCGTTTAATGGAATTAACATGTCCCTCGAAATACATCCCAACACGGAATTCTACTGTTGTTTATAAACTATGAATTATAGGTGTTACACTCGTTGAAGCAATCGAAGGAAGGGTTTGCAAGCTGTTTTCACAGAAATCATTACCTACGGCGTCATTTCAATCAATTACTTTATACGAGACTGCTTTGTAAATGTAACCATTAATGTATTATTTTATTTAGTAGACAAAAACAGATATTCTTGAAAATAATTAACGAACAAGACGCGTATCGAGAAAATACACAGAGGTATATTGAACACTGTACGTTCTACGCGTGCATATACTGTCGTTTATGTATTTAGGTACATATGTTACAGTCTCTGAAAGTGATGGAAGTGGGGGATAGAATTTCGAACGTCGGATTGTCGTGCGGTTGATGGCCGTGTTAATTAAACGCGGCTAGTCTAGTTTTGATGGTCTGCCGTGCGATTTTTCAAATTCAATTGGCACGACTGAAAGAATAGCCAAGCTCGTCCTATTTTAAACATTTCATGTTATATTTATTTATGTAATGAAAATGTTCGCACTAGTAAGATTTGAGATTGTTGGAAGAAAATAGAGAAGCTTGCATCAATTCTATTATAATGAAAAAAGAAGAAGATTATAAAGTTAAAATGTCGAAGTTTGGAGTTGTTCGGAAAAGTAAACGGTCACGTTGAGTCTCTAGTGAAAAGTCGAAGCGATCGGAAACGGTTGAACAATATAACGCGATGGATCAAATTAGATCGTCGGAAAGGGTTGCGTTTCGCGGCTCGCTAAACCGAGCGATGAATTTCAAATGAGACGAGAAGTCGACGTTATATGTGTAGAAATAGAAACCGGTCACTTGGTTTCCTGACACGCGATAAGATATTAATACGAAACGTGAGAATCCATGCTCCGTAGCTGCGTAGGAAACCGCGACTCGAGACGAACAGAAACAATCGATTATTCAGCTCGCGTTGAGTACGCTAAACATTTTTCATTTAACTTCAACACGGAGCCAGCATAATTTCTCCTTACCCTCGCGCCAAAGGATCTCGAACAACGCGTTGAATATGAGAACGATCGGGGAACGTTCATACAAAAGAAGACAGAAAAAGAGAACGGAATATTCTATACTTTTTTCCCTTTAATTTAGTCCGAATAATTATTAGCTCTATTGTGACCAGTTCTCTCCGTTTATTTCAAAATCATTGAAAAATCATTGCAAACAATACTTTGCCCCAAACTTAATATAACAAAGTAATCATCATTATTTCCTTCATAATAAAGCATAACAAAAATTGCCTTTAGTAATATTTCGAACCTGTTTGTATCTGTTAAATTCGGTATTTCGAGAGTAGGACGTTCAAAGGATCATAGATAAGTGCGCAATTATGTCCTTTCTTTTTTTTTTTAACAGAGACTATCTTCATTCCCGTTCTTCGTTCGACATTTAACGATGCGTGTAATTACAAAAAGTAAAGGAGTCTCTTTTTCTCTTTACTCGGATTCAAATTCCAATCTTGTTTCGACAATTTCCACGTTATTTAACGTTTAAATGCGTCGAAGGCATCCTTTATCGATCAATTAGATGATTGACTTTTACTATATTTAATATAGTGTTACAACATTTTTTCGTCGAAACGTAAGAGAAAATTTGTGGATTGTATTATTTCAAATAGAAATCAACCTAATTAGTTTAAAAACATTTCTTACCTCGCAGGACGTCTTCATTTTTATTAAAAAGCCAGAGGAGAAAATTTTCCGAAAATATCCTTAACCTCCCTTCTTTTTTCTTTCAAACGTCGCACGCTTCTTCTTTCTTTACATTTTAAGCTTAAGGATATATCATTCTTTCTTCTTGACTTCACCAGTTGCTTTACTGCAAATACGAATAAAAACAATAATGTAAATAGACAAAACTTTGATATTGGTTTGCTCCTTCGAAAGAACAACAAAGTTAACCCTTTCTCGAGCGCGTCGCGAGGACAACTAAGCAAGGATTCGAACATTCGCCGCGTTGAACCGCATAGCTCCGCGCATGCGGGCCCAAATTGAGCGGAAAAAGCCGAACAAATGGCACGAAAATCAAACGCGAAAAATCTAATTATTAACCAATTATGTTAATACATTTCTTTTGCAAAATTTAAATATTTTTATAGTTGTAATCATTTGGATACATCATTGGATATCAAACTAGACTTGATTTTCTATTATTTTTGTATGCATCGTATTTTATCACTTTTTTCTACTTCTTTTTCGTAATTAAATTTATTTGTTATATAAAAAAAAATGTCTATTGCTTCTGTTTTTCTTCAAGTTATTTCGTAAGAACGTAATCGCATCAAACCGATCTAATTTTCACAGGATCACCAAGCGTCTCGCTTGTCTACGTTGCCTCGATCATAATAGACTGATTGTAAGATTTATGAATCAACGTTGCTCAACCCTTATAAAAGTTCATCCTAAAAAAAACTCTTTAATACGAGTGCCACGAAATATTTCTAAACTCATAAAAAATAATCGCTACCAATTTGGAGAAATTAAATTGCTTTAGAGATATATTAATACGATAATTATTAATTAATTAAATAATACTTTTCATTCTTTAATAATAAAATGATCAGCTTTTTCTTCGTTCGCAATATTTTCTCCTGCATCTTGGGGTAAATTAGAAAAGCTTTTATGAAACGAAGTCGAAAAGATGGAATAGCTGATCCACAGGGAGTAGAAATAAAGAGCCCTCGTGTAACGTAGGGCTTGTAAGCGAAAGTAAAAGCTCCTTTTAGATGCATTGATGAAAAGGAGATGGAAAACCATAGGAAATTTATTCTCTCTTCCTTTCTCCATTCATGAGTCCCTACCATTGAGTTGTCCTTTTATCGATGCAGTTACACACGTTTCATTAAGACTCCACACGTGTCTTTCCCTCAAATGAATGAGAGGCTCTTTCGATATTTTGATGAAAACGATCAAATATTTTTCTTTATATGTTTGCAAGTTCTATGAAATCAATTATATTACCGTAAATATATCAAACGAAACATATATGCTTAAAAGCGACCAGTGACAAGTAGTAAATGTCGTTGATATAGGAAAGCGATAATAAGCAGTTAGATCGGCGATAATTCTTTCTAATGTAAGTGGTAAGGGTCGATATAGTCAGCCAGCTAAAAGCAAATATTACCGTGATGCGAAACATTCAAATGTATTGGATTCGTTAACAATTTCAGCGGAATAATAAAATTTAAAAAAATAAAATATATTTTTAAAGTAGTTGATTATAACAAAAAATTAAATAAAATGAACTAAGCAAGGGTTGTTTTAACATTTGTTTAACTTCATTTACGCGTGGCATAAAAGTGCCAGCTTTATGGTAAACATAAAAAACGAACAAGCTACCGACAACAACGTCGCGTATCTCTTCTCTAAAGCTATCTTATCGTTGCGCTTCTAATTTTTTTTCCGTGGTCAGGAAACTGAACTCTGCAACAATTTGTCCTGTGTTACCTCGTAGGACAATATCAGTAAAAGTTATTTGCTTGTATGTTGCATAAGTATGCAAGTATATACCTACCTTTTCTATTACTGGTTAGGACGATGAAAACCTAGTCTGGTATTTTATCCGATCAATGAAAAATACAGATCGCATAATTAGATGATAAGATCTCAATCTCTACAATTCACATTAATCCGAACTATAAAATGCTTATTTGATATAGTATGTGACTGTTAGAATTTCATAAAAATATCCATTTTATTTTTTCAATATGTTTTCCGTCGTTTTCTGCTTATTACATGTTAACATAGTGCATTAGCTATAACAAATGTCCAAACTAATATACGATACATATATTGCACAAATAATAGTAGTATAATAATAATAATATTATTATTCGCAATAACGTATTATAATAAATTCGTCGACAGGAAATATTTAGAGTTTCCAATTATTTCTTGGTATCCATAACAATTATTTGTTTTTACTAGAAGGATTACAAAGTGCGAATAGAAAAAAATTCGATTGTGATAGATAAATGACGAATATGGACACGGGCGTGGACCGCCTATCACAACATACCTAAGCGTCCTGCAGGGGCATTTAAAGAATTTTTAAGCGTGACGCGAAAAGAAAATAATCGAAATAATTATCTAAATGCTTAGAGAAAATTTCACAAAATTGTATTATCAAATTGTGAAACTGTGAATATGAACTGATCCTTGCTGGTTTCACGAACTAATCTTCTTTTCCGTTCCTATTTACAAAATCCTAGAAAAAAAAACAAAAAGTAGTGAAAAATCATCATCATTGAATGGACGTAGTCGTATCACACGAGTTATCTAAAGTCCTCTTACGGATTTGGTCGTAATAATCTTAAGCACGTTAAAAACGTTGCCGAAACGTAACGAATGCCGAACTATGCATGTAGAATTTCATAAAATACGAGGAAGGAAAATAGGACGTACTACGCGATGGAAAATATTTCGACGTATAAAATATAAAGTACATTATACATACTTATTAAGTTACGATCTCTGTACGATAATGCATGCTTCGATCGAACTTTACAATAATCGAATATTTCGTCGTTAAGTACAGAATGATGATGATAATAATGATGAAGATGATGTTAATGATAATATTAATAGTAATAATAATACAAAGTTGTACGATTGCTTTTTAAACTACCACTGCGGCGCGCAGCGCATTGCTCTTATTATTTTACTCTCTAAGGAATACGAAACGATCGTATATACAGAATGATTCGCGCATTTGTAACAATCCATACCTTTTCTTTTTGGTTGGAGTTAAATAAAAATATTAGTAGGAAAAGATATTTTTTCTAAATACCTCGTGATATAATCATTTCTCGATTTTTCATGTTCCATGTTTCATTTCTCATGTTTCCCTGATACTTTTTTTATGTAGAATCGCGAGAATATTCCATGTATGTAAAAATCACGAAGGTTTCCATTTAAAAAGACTGCAACTCTAAACTGTGCATGAATTAATGCAAATATGATCGTGAATATGTAATCCACCTTAAAGCATCCACCTTTTTCCTCTAATATTTCTACCTAGCTTCAATTAAAAAACACATATGAGTTACAGTTGCGCGAATTATCCTATAAAATAGGAAATATACAGAAAGTTTCGAGTTAACTACTTTAAAACTATTTCTTGCTTTACATACACACACATACACTCTCACTCTCTCTCGCACTCTCTCTCACTCTCTCTCTCTCTCTCTTTCTCTCTCTGTTTCTTGCAAAGTACGTTCATCTTACTCGCAAGAAAGCATACTGAGATTTCACAAAATACACGTACGTTATACACTTGGAGCATATTACCAAAATGGACCTATTACGTATAGTTTTTGTGTTCAGTCATATTCGTGAGTAGTATCTTTTTTGTTAAAAAGACTGTCTCTTTCTTCTTGAGTAGACGGAACCTCCGAGGTCGTTGGCCTTACCACTTTGGAGACTTTGCTAACTTTACTGAGATTCTCGGTAAGTCCGCTGCCACCGCTAACGCTAGAAAAGAGGCTAAGTTCGTGACGTTAGAACAGGATAAGTTAATCTAAGAAAAAATATCAAAATGATCGTTGCAAAGACCGTTTGAATTTATAAAATCGTTAACAAATTATATATATATATATATTTATATATTTGATTTGATCTCGTATTATAGTAAAATAATACTTACACGATGTCCATTTCATCGTCATCGTCACCTTGATCAACTTCATCAGTTGTTAATGTAAAGTAAGGATTCGCCGAAGCTGGTCGAAACTTATAGCCCGTTAAAACGAAGAAAACGTACGTTGCCATCTCACGAGACATTTCATGCAACCATTCGTATTGGAAGGGTACCGTACTCTATTGAAACAGAAACAGGGCTTGCTATGTTTATCAAAATATACGATTTTATATTGATACCGCTAAGTAAATAAATCTCTGGAATGTTTGTACGCAAAAGTTAAAATTAATAAAGGCTACGTACCTTAAGCAAGTACGCTATAAATCTGGTAAAATATATATAACCAAGTATCATGATATAAAAATGTCGAAAAAGTTTAAGTTTCCGTAAATTCACAGCCGCTTTGCCGTCCGTGTGAGCAGCTTCTTGTAAATGTCTGATACTCCATACTATCGGGAATGAAATAGCACCGCAACAAAGCAAATCCACGAGAATAAAAACGTCGCGCCAGGTTTTATTCTCTATATCGCCTTCTTCGCCTTCTTCTATTATTATTTCCGCAACATTGGCTAATACCTAAATAATCAAATAACAGATTACATTGACTTTCTTTGATTCTATAATATTCCATATATAATGTCTTATTTTATTACCTGTAATGGAATGACGATCATGAAAAGCTTTTTATCTTTGTCCGCTAAAATATGCTTAATAAATGTCCATCCTGTGCCAACAAGGACGATAGTAATGAATAGTACAGCACCCTTTAACAGGTGCGTGATATAATACAATATTGCCCATGCTGCTACGTGTTCACCTTTTGTTTGTATAAAATGATAATTGATGCCGTGGAATAGTAAAGATAAAGACTTCAGAAATACCAGTACTGTCATTAAGTAATGAATTTTAAAGACGGGATGCCTGCATAAATAATAACCATAAGTTTCTATAGGTTTCACCGTTTATAAATGGAAACCTTACTTGCTCTTCTTAAGTATGAAGACCCAGAAGCAGCCAGAAAAGAGAAATAAGAAAGCCATCATAAAGTACAAAGCTGGTAGAGGCATTTCTCCGGCACTAAGAAAATTTCCACGATTGATTTCAGCTATTTGTATCTGTAAATAAATAAAATATAAATGTATGCGTGTATTATTTTATTTCTTAAAAAATGTTCACTCGTAATCGTACATGATATCTTACCGTAAAATCTAAGGCAACTTGAGTATTACCCTTATAATTAGGACAATTATGAAAATAAAGATTGTAAAGACCTTCTTCTTCTTTACTACCTACGTACATGGCGAAGCTTGTGTTATAATATATTTTGCCCTTTATATTTCCCATAGTCATCGGTAGCGGTGTTTGTATTAAATGATCACAACTATTTAATTCTGGTTTGAGATCAGTCTCCTCTTTTTTAACGGATTTTTCTAACGGGTTTTCTGCAATCAAATGTTCGTATGAGATAGTTTCTTAAATAATACATGGTAATGAAAATAAAAATAAAAATAAAGATATATGATGCAAAATTTAATATGGAAACATATTGTTATGTTAAAAAAGTAATTTAAATGATAAGGAAAATTTCATTACTGATGGACATAAGAGAAAAATCTATAACTGATTTAAAGAAGATAGTTACCTAATCAAACTTTCAAAAATACCTAATTTTCATGTTATTTATAAAATTGAGGGCAAGATGTAATTATAGCAACTGCCATCAAGGAAACGTTCTATCACCAACATTGCTTCAAGTCCACGTGTGCTTGTTCGTCAATCATTTTAACCGGAAAATTCTTATTTAGAAAACGTACATTAATATCATATTTTAATAAAAAAAAAATAAAACATCCC